CATGTATTAATTATATAACCGAGTACATTAAAGAAAAATGAATATGTTTATTGTCCTTATTTTAATTCTAACAGCATGTCCAGAAGGAAAGTACGGACAAGATTGTTCACAGACATGTCTTTGCCAGAACAACGCAAAGTGTGACGCCAAGGAAGGCCAGTGCGCATGTCTGGAAGGATTTACAGGAAGACATTGTGATGAAAGTGAGAAATCCCCTTTGTTTAAGCAGTCAAAACACACGATAAATCAGTTGCTTTCGTTTTGGTTTTAAGTTTACAAACAGAGTTTCGATAGATTAACAGACAGACAGACAGAACGACAATATGAGGAACACACATGTTTATTATATACTTATTTACAGGGCTAACCACCGCTGCAACGTTAACTGGAGATACTGGTGGTCAGCGGGGAAAACAATCGACAGGCCTAAAAAAAGCCCTGGTCGGAATCGGCGTTTCTCTCGCCGTCGTAGTGGTCATCGTGTTTATCATATATGTGTACTGGAGAAGAAAGCGTGGTCCTGAGAACAGAGGGATACTAAAAGGGTTAGTGCCACCTTAATAATTATAAAAAATATCGAATAGATCGTTCTAGATTCGTATGCAAATTGGACAGTTTCCCTACTTGATCAGATGACATGACACCAATTGAGTTTAAAGTGTTGAAATARTAAGGAAATCATATAGTTGGGTAACGTGGTTGAAGCTAAATGAGTCAGTTGACTGGTCAACCACTAGCGATAACTTTTTTTTAATTCATGAACATTACACTCACTATAAAATACAGGTAAATTATAACTAAATGTGTTGTTTTTCGTACAGTTGGACATTAAGAAGATTGGTATCAACGAAAAGAGCTGGTAAGCTAAGAGCAAAGTCTTGTAAAGATTTTGTCAATTTGTGTGTGCGAATTTGAAAAGAGAGACTTTGGAGACCTTTTCTTTTCATTATTTTATTCCCAAACATTATATCCATTGAAATCCCATCCTTCCWYCTATTTTTCATTTACGCGAGCAGCGCTATATATGACATCAAAGGACATTGCGACGTCATGACATGGAGAATTAATTGACCAATTATAGACCAGATTATACGTTGAATAAGATTATTAATTATTGAACTACAATAGGTCGCGATTCGATAGGTGGTGGCTCAGCAGACATTAGCATGAATCCCATATACGATGACGCAACAGACACAAAACCGCGAACCAGTACTGATCGATGTGTTTCTAACCCTGGTTACGACATGACCATATCAGCCAATAGGAAGTCAGATCTTTCATCGTCACCACACCAATCAGACAATCCTTTGTACGAGTCTTCAACACAGGTAACCCAAGGTGAAAATCCTATCTATGAGGGATACGAGGACAATCCACCTTTGCCTCAACCAGGATCTCACACTGGAATGAACCCCATTTATGATGGAATCCCSGCAGATTTCTGTGGTGGACCGCCAGCAGARGCTTATGGGATGTCAAATCCAAACMTTGAATACGAAACTCTTCCAACCGATACTGCTTGTAATCCTATTTATGAAATGGGAAATTCTARTCCAGCGGTTGATCCCATTTATGCAGAAGCAAATAATGATGAGCCTTGCTATGAGGTTGTGACCGGAAGAAGTGACACCGGAAGTGAAGCCCGCATTAATCCAATTTACCAAGAGAGTTCATTAGTCAATRCGGAAAGAAAACCAAGATCRTTGTCTCTCAATCGTAGTGAGCCTACATACGCGAAGCTYGGCGACGACGAAGCGAATCATACCGAAGATTCTCCGAAAGGTCTCCGAAAACGAACCGAATCTAAGTCGAAGATGTACGGAAACAACACTGATAGTCGTGATGATGAGGTTCCTYTTAGCAATGTCTATGATAACGAAGGTTTGGACGTTATGAATGAGCTGTATGGGAGGATTAACCACGACAAAACAACTTGATACACAATTTCTTTCTATCTTGACAGAACTCGTAAAAAAACTCCTTTTTTTCAAATTTTAAGCACGTTAATTATTTTAGYAAGAGCAAGACGAGCGTGTCGTGAAAAATATCTTAACTTGTGCGGTAGCAATAACTATTTGAAGTTGCCGTTTCGGTATCGCACAGCGGTTATCTATTGTTTGTGATGTCATATTCATTGAATTCGGCGCAGCGTACGTTAAGAACGAATTCTATTGATGAAGCCCACAACACGCTTCTGGTTGATTCGCGCTTCCAAGTTGTCGCATGCGACATATATAAACGAATRAATTATCTCAAAGGCGATGAAATATGAGAAATAAAAGTCCAAGTTGTCGAGAAACAAGTGAAGTTCAAGCAGTCGAGAAAACACTGCTCTTTCGATTTACAACAAAACCGTYYATCCAACTTCTCTTARAACGAAAATCGCTACTTTCTAATGATGGTTGATACGCAAAGTCACAGGATCGTTCTGCAACAAATTTGCTGGTCACCAGGTTTYTTTTTACTTCTCGCTCAGCATTTCGCGGGGTTAATGCGGWCGCCATCTTGATTACAATTTTTTGTTTTCGAACTTCACTATGTACAAAACCGATTTGGACGACAAGTTTGGACGTTTGATTCTCGTCTTTCGCTGTCGTAGGGAGATCTTAAGAACCTTTTTAATACAAAAAAATGATAAAAAAGCAGCTCAAACATGCACAGCTGAAATAATAAGTCATTTTAACACATTCGGTGTATCAAAAATCTATACATGTTTATAACAGTATAACAATACAAAAATTGCATTATTGTATCAATTAATGGTAATATCTATTATATCTGTAAATAAGTATATTAGTAATGTGTAGAAAAAGAAGATAGGTACGATTTTGTATGGTTTTKAATTTAGTTGATAAATAAGATAAATAAGGAATATCTAGTGTGTTATTTTGTAAAAGAAATCTGAGCTAAAATTAAAAGAGTTGTAATGAGAGTTAAGGATACTAGACGATAAGTGAGAGTGGACAGACCATGCAAAATGTTTCAGCAAGGCTGTAGTGACTAGTGCAGAAAATAACATTCACACTTTTATTTGTAATAACTTCTTTCAAATAAACTTATCTAACTCTTTATGAAACATACTTTCTGTTTCGAATAGTTCTAAACATTTAGCTATAGCTTAGATGAAGTGTAATAACCCTCTTTGCAAAAGCTCGATTGAAACTAGTCATGTGTTCAGATTCGATACTCAGTCAGATTAGTTACCAGTGACTCGAAATAGAAGGGTATCGTCAACCATCCGAAAACTGACCATGTGCATGTTGAAAAATAAACGGCAATTTGACATGAAGCATCTCTTGGACGGGCGGTAGCAATATAAGATGCATTTGCCATGTTTACTTCGCGGCGGTTTGGCGTTGCAAACATGATAACCAGCTCCGCTATTAATATGTCCCCACATGATGACCAATTCCAACAACAACAAACAACAACAACAACAAACTTTATTTCGTACCTATAATGATTTCGTACCTATAATGTTTTACATGCAAGCAATTGAATAAGACATTTAGTAGAATAAATTAAGGTACTGGACCTAACCAATAACTAAGAAGCTAATGAGATAATTTCCGCTATAAATATGTCACCCTGTATGCCTTTCTCAGTCTATAATTCATATTTGCCGGTATATATATTTATTTGATCCTAAAGTGGAGTTATATATAGAGCTGGAAGAGAAGATTACCTGAGGGTGTATATACTGCCACCTTGGCCTGATGGATCGTAAGTCAGCTGAAACTTATTATGACAATGAATTAAGGGAGGAGGCGAGCTCTTGATGTAGAAGTATTTCTAAACAATTGTACAAATTTTCTAAAAATAAGTGACTTTATTTTTCTGCGTCTTGGTTTTCTTGTATGACTCCTTCTCTGCTAATTTGTTATTTATTTTATCAGTGTCACTGTTCTTTTTCTTTGGACTTTTTCCATTTCTTTTTCGGTGGCCATGGTTCCTGCTGTCGATCAGTTCTATAATAGCGGTCTTCCTCTTCCCGTACTTTTGTTCTTCAGTCGAATTTCAGTTGCTTTTCTCTTTTTTCTTCTTCGCTGCTTCTTTTTTTAATTACAGTAGATTCTTTCAGTTATATTCTGCGTTATGAATTTTTAGTATCAACGAATGTTGTCAGTTCAGTTTTGTTAGGGTTTTCCACAGTTATAGTTAGTCACCTYTTGTCGCGTTCTTTGGAAGTCCCTCCTTAATTCATCTTTTTAAATTAACTTATTTTACTTAACATTGTTTTGCATTGTATCAGAACTTTTTTCGGACCTTTTGGTTTCCGTGAGTTTTCTGTCTGTTGGGCGTTTTTTTGCCTGATTTGTTTCATACAGTCTGAAGTTGTTGTCCGCACTAAAAGTTTTAGTACTTATTTAAGCGACATTGTCATTATAAACAAAAGCATATGCTATCGAAACGTTTACGCTAGAATATCATTAATGATCCAGTCTTTTAATTGGTCACCAACACCTTGCAGTCAACTAATTARCAGTAATGATATGCACGCATGCGCGTCGGAATTCAGCACATGTGCTCGAGGATCAATTGAGGCCGAAGGATTGTTGTGAGAATGAGATCGACGAGAAACTCAAGGATGAATTTTGTATTTTAGTCGTAATACCTTGGAATCTGGTTGCTTCTCAAGCTAGTTTAGAAACAGCACTTTGCAATGCAAGTAGCAGAGCTGCAAATAACTAACTCTCCTTTCGGAGCCATGCTCGATCGCAACGCAAACACGGCCGAGGCAGACTTCATGAGTTCAGCGCTGATAACTTTGACATCAACATCCACAASTSCGAATACTGACATTCAAATGGGATTAGATAGCGAAGAAAGTGAAAACTCTAATCCAGAGTTGGAAAACGCGTTGGAGTCCTCAATCAGGTTCGTGTTTTATGCAGTATTTAGAATTCGTGTTTACCATGACCTGTTGCATATCCGAACTCCGTTGCCAGTGATCAAAATATTCTTATTTAATTCATTCATTGCGTTAAAGTCAGGGAGTAATTTATTAAGCTATCTCTACAAATGACTGAATCATTTACGATAATAAATTAAATAACATAATAAAGTATGATTTTTAAATGCCCAGTAATGATTGATGCATGTTTGTGATAATCAAGCTCCAAAGGTTAGTTGAATGCCCTGTCTAAATTTAACTTTATCTTTACTCGGATCTCCAGTTCATTAAACAAGCAATTATTAAAGCTAGTTAACTACTTATTCGGTGTTCTGGAATTGGCATTTTTTAGGGCCATGTGTGTTTCTCAATAAGACAGATGCGTGCTTGGAGTCCCATTTCTCCGGAAATTGTGTTAACTGGTTTATCTTCCACGTGGTGGTAGTTTTCGCGCACGGATATATATTATCGCTAATTTCAGCTTCATTTATGTCTAGAATTGTTGCATTTTTAAAAGTTTTGATTTCAAGGTATGAAATTAAAACTCGAATTCTCATCTGTCAACTTTGAATGCTCATTCACACTCCATAAATTCCTTAATGCTCAATGCCTGTTTTAGCGAAAAAATTCAACGTGTTGTGCTGTTTTTGTTTGTAAGATTGGTTTATTGTTTTGACAAATACGATGCAGTAGAATGACTTTTCGAGAGAATATTGTGAAAGAAGGCTTCTGAAGTGCTACTTTGAAGTTTCGCTGTTCGRAAATTACCATAACGAATGGTCTGAATTCTCGTTTTCACCAATGGTACCTGTTCCATGTTTGGACAGGCAATGATTAATGGCGGTAGACATAATATTAAACGCTTTTCAAAGAAGCAAGGCCGAAATAACTTTTATTCGATCTTCAAGAGAACATGAAAGAAGTCTAACAAACACTTGGACTGAATCAAAGTTTGAACCGTGACACCCCACCTAATTTGACTTTCAAATTTGTCAGAAAACAACTGAAAAGACGGACTTGTAAAATCATTGCGTTGCRTAAAGCTTAAGCGTTGTTGGTACACATGGAGAAGTCGCTTTTTAAATGTTTCTCTTTAGATTTGCGTTCTTCTAGGGATTAYTGACCACACGGTGGGCGCGTCTCCGCGCTGCTGCCGATAAAAATCCCGGTAATAATTGAAAATTGCGCGAAAAAAAATTATTATGCTTGAAGAGGCGACTATCAATAATAATGAAAAACCTTAAAAAAAATGTTAATTCAATCTTTTGTACTTGGHTTTAAAATAGTTCAAAGCTACATATACAGGATTACTTACATTGTTTTTTGTTTTGTTTAATCAAATAGTAAAATTTTACTTGAAACCTGTTGCATGTTTTTGATATCATCAATTATTGATTGCATGTATTTCATGTCTAGTCTAAATACCACTTATCTTCGAGGTAAAATATGGTTGATTTTTGTTTGTCAGCCACTTAAAATGTCGCCAGAAAGACAGTTCATTATATCTTCTATTCACAACATTTCAAAGAAAGATTTTGGCGTTAATCACCCAAATTGTTGTTGAGTAATATCATATGCTTCAGGCATTTATTTTCTAAAAAGATACGATTTTTYAACTAAAAGCAGTTCAGGAGTAATCAAAATCTTGATTTTTTAAATGTTTTTTAGAGTAGATAAGTGTGGAGACAAATTGTTAAAAAAACGTTCATTTTAACTAGTTTTTGCAATTGAAACTTTGCCTGAAAAATGCAGCCAAGAAAACTGGTGTAAATCTTAAACTTTATATAAGCATAGGTAAAATGAATCAAACTTCAGCTTCTTTTGAGTGATCAAATATACAMTAAGTYGTGTTTTAGATTTTTGGAATTTCCTCAACAWAACAACATCTACCAAATTAAATGTCTCCACTAAAGGCTTTGCAAATCTGCTAATCCACATGAAAAGGTGTTACGATTTTAAATTTAAAAGTAAAAAGAGTTTTTCATAAGTCTGTTTTGTCAAGGGACAATAGCAGGCAATGTTGTAATGTTTGTCCTAAGGTCAACTTTGAATAGACTATAGGTCTGCCTTTGTTTCTCACATGTGTTGTGGTGAGTTTGTCGTGAGAATCTCTCAAAAGCTGTCTGGTCCTCTTCCCCAGAAAGGCTAGCCATGACAAAGCTCATCATTAAAACATTATTACCAAAGAACTAAAGAACTTCATATTTTATAGAATAAAATGTACAAAATCTAGCACTATTGTTTGTTTTAAAGATGAGTTCTTTCTTATAAGTTCTACTATTAAATAAATATCCAGTCTACTKCTTTACCTCAAGACTTTGACTATGTTATCTTACTTCATAACTTTATATTTTACTTGATTTAAAAAATGGGAAAAAGAATTTATCTTGCTGAAGCTCATTTGTCTAGCCCAACTTTTAATGATTTAAAACAGTTTAAAATGKGTTGTTTTTGCACTATTGTCATTATTTACAAATATTGATTAGTGTTGTAATATTTTGTTGCTTTTTTCTTCATAGTGAAAAGATTCAAGGCAAGATAACAAAAATACTGGTAAGAATTAAAAGAAACCCTTAATTGTTTTAGCCAAAGACAGCCACCCATTTATCTTAAGATTCAATTAGCTGATAATGAATGTCTCTCTAGACTAAACCACAAGTAGAAGAGAAATTATAACAAATAGTTTGAACAATGTTTTTAATTCCCAGCTTAATTTTATAAGCTTTTGCGAGAGCCTTGGAAAAAAGAAATTGTTTTGTGGTGTCTTGATGACCGGGTTAAGCTTATATGAATATGCTGTATGGCTAAAGTTATTATTTAGTGGCAAACTCCAAGATTGTTTTATTGTGTATCACATAYATCAGTAGTGCATTGATATGATGGAGACTGTTTTGTTCTAATGTATAGTTCACTTCAGTATTTTAGGCAAAAAATGACTCTAGTTTCTTCAAATTGTTTGAAATGCATTGTAACTAATGCCTTAGACTCAATATCCAAGCTTTCAGTTGAGAAATATTCCTTAYAATCATATATAAGCTTATCTAAAGTAGCTATATGTACATATGTTTACGTGAAATTTTATAATCTATTGTAATGTGGTTATAGGACTATAACTCCATATGCTGACATACTGGCTAATATCAATTATGTAAGATTAGTGAAGTAATAATCTTGAGTAATTTATCATCTGTATAGCATCGGACTAATAGCTATGGTATTAGATATTTTCTTGGAAAATTTATGTACACTCCTTGTAAAGATGCTAYGGTGTTTGTTAACATTATAGAGATATAAGTGAAGATATATTATCATTATAGATATAYAATTAGTAATGCATGAAAAGGAACATTACCACAATTTGCTGAACTTGAATTCCAAGGCAAACTGTACATATAATTCTCCAGAGATCAGTTTTCTGTCAATTGATAACAACTACTCTATCTTCATCCTTGCTTAAAAAGTCAAACCTTTTCATGACAAGTAAAGTAAACAAGGTTTTATACCAAAGCGAAGTGGTGATTTTGTGGAAATTACTGGATTGCGATTAGTATGCATGGAAGTATGAAAATAATCTTTAGTCAACCAAGGAAAATTGATTAGGCTTTGAGATAAAATGCAAGCAATTTCAAATGCAAAATCACCTCTAACTTCCTAGTTGATTCAGATTGTTTATATAGCCAAATACATTCTTGATTGCTATCCAATATGGCAAAACTTGTATCATGTGATTGATTGATGCAAAAAGGTTATTACATAAACAATCTAAAAATACACSTTTTATTCTAGGAGGAAGTTCAACAACTTTCTGATACTGAGAAACTGCTTCTGTAYTTACGTCTTCCAGGAGAGACTTGCTCTGAACTGAAAGATGAGTTTGACCAGTAAGTGTTAATTTAACACAAAATTATTTCTCTTTGAGCGCAGTTTGTCTAGCTATGCATATTCATCTTAATGTTGTTGCTCTGTCCGTTYATTTGAAAAGAGGGTGATTGTTTCAAGTTATAATAGCATATAATTGATCTAGAAAAAAATGTTTTAAACTTGTTTAACTGTTGGTTAGTATTGATGAATTCATCACTTGATTTTTTGAGCATACAAATTGTACATATTAACTATTACTGTAGTTAATTACTATTAACTAACAATTTCACAACATTGTACAAACCTGTAGTCTTACTTAAAACTGCAAGCATCAGACTTCTTTTGGGATGTCACTATTTGAGCTTAATTTGTAACACACCCTGTCAGGTTGGATGGTTGAGACAGCAGTTTGTGTCATTGTTTAGAATTTGAATTGAATTGAATTAATTGTTTATTTAAATTTATTTTAGGTGCCAGACTCTTCCAATTTCAACAACAMGGGCAGAGCAGACCCAAGCTTTTCATTGGTGAGTTTTGTTCTTGTAAATTGTGATTAAATCAAATAAAAAAAAAATTGTGTACTCAAACAAAAGTGAAGCAAGTGAAAGTTTTTGAAGCAGTTCTTATTAATTATTTTGTGTGTAAATGATGGGATGAGAGCTTTGATGGATTTAGTTTTATTCACACTTGATTTTTGATTTTTTTGCGTGTAGGATACGCTGCCACCTTGAGGAATGCGACAACAACTCAACTYTGCCTAAACATGAAGTTTACGATGAATACAAGTAAGTTATAGTATAGCACTTTCGCACAACATTCCCCCAGTAATGTCCCACCTTTTCTGGCCTTTTCTTCTAGCATAATCTTGGCATATAATAATCCATTTTACGATAATCACTGGAAAAAGTGATGTAAATTTGAAGTAAATCATTTACATCAAATTTACATCATTTTGGACACTTAAATCTTATTCACATCAAATTTACAACCTTTAAAGTGCGCGATTTTTTCCAGTTTATTCACCTTCCAATCGATGTATCTTAGCTACACGTTTTATTCATTTAATGTCTTGTTATGTAGAGCCTATTGCGAGAGCATGAATGCAGCAAGGACACTTAGTGCTCCTGACTTTGGAAAGATCATCAAATGCGTTTTTCCTCGAGTYAAGGCAAGGAGACTGGGCACAAGAGGGAATTCTAAGTACTGTTACAGTGGAATTCAAAGGAAAAAGAACGTCAAGCCTCCAACTTTGCCGTCTTTGCAGATCCCTTCACCAAGTGATAAAGACAAGGTAATTGACATTGTACAATTGAGTTCAGTTGGTGTACAATGTGTTTGAATTCTCCTGACCTATGTGCGATTAACGGTGTTATTTTGAAGGGTGTTATGCTTTGCATAGCAACAACGTAGATCTTTTAAAAGCTAGTAATAATTTATTGTTGTAATATATTCATAATTATCATCACCATTGTTTTAGCCTTGAATTAGTAATTATAATATCAACAACAAAGTCAATCGTTTGCCTTATTTTCGTCGTCGTTATGAAATGTTGATGATAATGTTATTGATGTGTCTGTTTACCAGAACAACTCAAACAACAGCAATGGAATCAATGGCGGCGACAAGATTGAAGAAGACCAGACTTTATCAGCGGCTTGCCTTTTGGTTTGCGAGTGGGCGAACAAGCTTCTTGGCCGCGTATTTACAACACTTATTGAGCTTGCAAGATTCCTCGTAGGCGGGAGCTATGTATCGAGCAAATCCATGGCTGCTTTTGTCGTCATGTCCAATAATGACAACGTCACGCATCCTCAGATTAATCACATTGCTAATTCACTGTTCTCGCCTCAAAAACACGAAGCGCCTCTAATAATACAAAAGCGAAAACCAGCCCATTCGTTTCCAAAGAAAATCCCAGCACCCAGGCCACCTCAGACGCTAACCCATGGCTCGTCAAATCCGATTTTACCAAAAACGCAGACTCAGCAACATAGTCCACTCCACAAGCAGCACATACAGCCAAAGACTTCAGKGTCTGCTGGGCAGATTCAATTCTATCAGTCATCACATTCTCAACTGTCAACCCCCAGTACACCCCCCACGGGATATCAAAAGATGCGTCCTCCTACTCCCTCRTTGATGTCACCGACTGGATCAAACCAGGGTCATCCTCAAACTCCCTCGCCCTTCCAGGCGTCGCCAAAGTTTAGTGCCCCGGGTACACCTCATAGCAGACCAATAACACCAAGTTCTAGTGTAAGTCAATCCAGACARCAGTCCATAGAACCAACACGATTCCTCTTYACTCCGATACCGAACGAGCAAAAGCCCCCAAAGACCGAGACTAGTCCACCAACCTTAAGACCTACGGCAACCCACCCTGGAAATCAAACCCATGACTGGAAGTCAGGGGGGTCAAATCAAAACCAGGTGAACGTCAATGATATYCCCGTGTCCCCAAGCAAACAACCTCGCCTGTCTCTGCAGTGTGCTCCGGCCACWCCTACCAGAAGATCCAACTCGTTTCCTTACCCTGTGACGTCACCACGGACACCACAGCGCCTAGCCAATCAGCAATTCGTGACGTCGCCTCCTATGATGTCGCCTGGCACACCACGTCCGGTCATGAATGTTCAATCTCCAAGCATTCAACAGCGAAACACAGAAATGATCATCCTCCAAGGGCAGGATGGGATAGGAACGATGGACGCTATCGGTGGTATGCAGCGAAACAGCGATACAAGTCCAACGCTTCAAGTCACCGATCAAATGATAAAACAGGGGTAGGTTAATAAYGCATTGTCWKTATKTATGTATTGTTTGCCACTRAAACGCTAATTCGTGTTTTTRTTTGTTCAAGGTGTGGCCCAKCCCCTTCTCGTCCATGTCGATACAGCTCAAGCTCAGACAATAGTACAATGCCTCCAACACCGCTGAGTCAACAGCAAAGTTTTGATTACTCATCTGAGCTTGATACAATATGCAACGGTGCTGTTAGCAGCRCAGGCGCCCMAAACTTCCAGAGAAGTCAGTCAGTCCCTCCCCTCCCTCARCACAGTCTTTTAGACAAGCGATTTCACCCGCTGACWCCACAGACTGACAATCGAGTACAGCAAACAACACCATCACCAATGGAGACGACGAACTCAAACCAGCACTTAAATAGCTTGAAAGAATTACGTAATCGTGTCTTGCACGGTGACGTCAACAACAATGGCTCCAGAACCAATGAAAACGCTGCATTTACAGCGCGAAGAAATCTCACCACATTGCTAAACGCAGAAACGGGAATGAACAATAACGGCAACGGCCAAACGTTGTGGCCTGCTGAAGGGTCCAGTAGTGAAGAACAGGAAATGGAAATGCTAGAGACAAACTTGAACTTTTCTGATCTTACAAGCGACGGAGATGCTAGTTTGCCTGACTTAAACGGATTTGATGATGCCACAGCTGAGGCTGTTCTCAGAAACATTTGCAACAATACATCCGGGGTATGGCCCACTACTGACGTCACTTCTTGGGCTACCCAGCAGCCATTGCAAATAATGGATTAGCTATTGACTTGTTTACGCAGTTATTTTATCCCGTTCGTTTTAACGTAAGCAGTGCCAAGTTGCGATCATTTTCGTGCCAATGAAAGCGCGCCAGATTACAGACCCGTTATTTCTAACTCATGCGTTCWTAAACATTGTCAGCGGTGATTACAGGTCGCAAATACCGCTGAAATCACTTTGTATTTTATACAGATCGGAAACTAGCATCAAGAGGTGAAATTACAGTGTTTGTGACACAATAAAAAGTAGATATATGTATTTTGGAATAGGAAACTTTTTAAGGTATTTTGTATGTCGTGTTTTTTAAGTTGAGTAGTTTTGATACTAACGTTTTTTAAACTAAGTTAACCCATTCATTTGCATCAGAAGCTGCAAAGGCTTTGAGTATGGAATGAGTAGAAATAAATATCATTTGTATAGATCATGTCTSATTTTGCGCAAACATCGCGTTCGTCTCAGTATTGAAGTACGAGAATAGTTGTAACCTTTCCGCGGTTAAAACCAAGGCGGACAATATGATTTCTCCAACCTTGCAACCTTGTTTGTTTGTGTTGTCTTTTGTTTTAAGTAATATAAATGTGATTTAGATTGAGCAGGAATCGTGATCGGTCTTTAGTCACATGTAGCAAGTACATCAGTAGTCATTCTAAAGTATACTGGAACAGTTTTTACATTATTATTTGAACTTCCTAAGGATACAAAMTTAGTAAGTGCACTAAGCTTCTTGCTGTTTATAGCATTCCTATAATCATCATAGTCAAAACTGTCGATTATGCATAAATGATAGCTTCCGCCACGCTGCATTGCCGAAAAAGAAAGGGCTACCATTCGCACAACCCACACGCGGTCTGCGCGCCGCTACGCAGTCTGTCACTGTATTGTTTACTCCTGAATCAGTAGTTGACATTAGTCAGAGTAATCTGAAGTGTTCCCATCAGATTTGAAGAGAGGTTGCTTGTGATGAAGTTCAAAAAAGCGCCCGACTYCCGCGAACTGCATCACCTGCAGGAAATAATAAACAGTGAAGATGTTTTCTATTTTGGGGATGTTTTCCTCGTCCTTCATGGATTCATCGATGCATTCTTGTAGAATTTCAGTGATCGGACTAAACTTGTTGCTAAGAGCTTTCTTTTCGTCTTGCGATGGCTTTGAGTACATATAATCAGGACTTTGTATTTCTATCTTGCTACCATCGGGTAGAGTGAAATTCATGCTCAATTCAAACCAGGTAGGGTAACTTGCCCCATCGCCTCGTATTTCTCCATCTATTTTTATAACCGACCCTCCTTTCATCCTAAACTGAGCTTTGTTGTCAACATATTTGTCAGCAACAGAAGCAGCAGAGTAATTTCCTA